TAAAAAATACTAGAGTTCTTGTAATTCAAAATGAGTACTTTTTTATTTTGTTTAGAATGATATTGACGAAGATAAAAGTTTTGATCGTATGTTCCATTTCTTGCATATCTATAACTGAAGTTAAGTCGACTTATTCTGATAATGCGATTTCTCAGACCAAATATCCTTATTGTCGGAAAGTGTATATTTGTGAGAGTTTTTCTAGTGAAATGTGAATAAAAAACGGTTAGAACTATTGTTTAGAATAACGAAAATATGCTCTGTAGACAGTATAGTGAAAAAAAGTGTTTTATACTTATCTTTATGACTTGAATTTCTTGTCAAATGACATGCCAAAAACTTAAAAAATCATTAACGTTAAACTTATGAATTAAAAGATATTAGTTTAATGAATAAAATTGACTTTCTTTTGGTCAGAAATATAATATTAAATAGAATTGGAAATATAATAGCATATACAGATGGACGAAACATTCGTAAATTGATTAAATTAAAGAAATAAATTTATTTTTTGTGCTAGTTTAGATCTTTTCGATGTATAATTTAAAGTAGAATTGAAAATACAACTATTTAAATTATGGAACTGGTGAAATCTACTTTAATTTCAGAACTGTCTGAAAAATGGGTTTAGTCAGTTCTGGTGTTAAAAGCGAGTTATTTGGAGCTGGAGCTGAACCAGACTGATCTAAAACTACATTTCTAGAACTAGTTCCAAAAATGGTCCCAGAACCAGTTCCAGCCTGAAAAACTGGGTTCTTAGAACCGGAACTGACTGGAATCAGACTGATCCAACACTATCCGCAACCAATAAGAATGAAAAAAGACAAGAAACAGATGCTGGAACATTAATTGAGACTATTTTACATACAAGAAATGAAACATGCAATCAAAACTTTCTGGAATTTTTATCTTTGTCAATATTATTCCAAACAAAATAAAAAAGTACTCATTTTGAATTACAAGGACTCTAGTATTTTTTAAATATATTATGATAACAGATTATTTAGTCGATTTTGTAAAACTGGGTAATTTAAATCAAAATTTTCAATTAGTAAATTTCTCATATTGAAGAACTTTTTTCTATGATGAATTCAAATTTAGATCACTAATTAAAAATTTTATACTCTACAAATCCGCCTATATACCAAAAACTGGCTCAAAATTTATTTAGATTTAAAATCCTGAAGGTTCAAATCTCTGTTAGTAAATAAATAGTCGAATTAATGCTCCTAGCAGAGATTCGAACCTTCGGGATCTTAAATATCGATAAATTTTGAGCCAATTTTTGTGAAAATTGGTACATAAGCGGATTTTGTAGAGTATAACAATTTTAATTAGTGAGAAATTTACTAATTGAAAATTTTGATTTAAATTACCCAGTTTTACAAAATTGATTAAAATAATCTGTCGTCAAAATATTTTTAAAAAATACTAGAGGTCTTGTAATTCAAAATGAGTACTTATTTATTTGTTTAGAATAATATTGCGAAGATAAAAATTCTAGAAAGTTTTGATCGCGTGTTCCATTTCTTGTGTGAGTCACTGTATAAACTTGACCTCAGTTCTAACCTAACTTTAAAATCAACATTTAAAATTAATTTTTAATATATGAGAATATTCCGGATGTACACTAACCATATCGAATTCTATATTTGGATTGGGTGTATTCTTTATTGTATCCCCCGTTATAGTGGATACACTATAGAGATTTGCTGTGTACATACAAAAATACAACCAATTAGCTTTAAAATGATATAAATATTATAAAAAATTTAGTGCATAGTTCGAAATTTCCATCTTAGATGTTTTATTATAGAATTTTGATACTTTTTGGGGTAATGCATGATGCACAACTGATACTGTGCCCTAACGCGCATCTGATACTGTGCCCTAACGCGCATCTGATACCAATACTGTATATAAAGCATTTGTTGCTCTGAACAATCAAATGCACCGTTTCTTAATCTACTATCCTTTGTGTTCACAGAACTCTTTCACGTCTAATTTAAAAATGATAAAATTTGGTCTCCTATGTACTGCCATCCTTGCGTGTTTGATTGCGGTAGCGCACACTCAGAGCGACGACTGCCAGGTGTGCATAGCTGCGTACAATCAGGTATTGACCTGCACCGGCGCTACTGCTATTTCTCAAATCCAATATATACAGAAAGAAATACTCGTACCGTGTATGTGTAATCAGAATTTCATTAATGGGGGTGCGAGGTATGTGAACACTTGGGGTATGGTATATGCCTTAGTAAAAGGATTATATACGCTCGAGTTTTGTGATATAATGCATGTTTAAAACCATTACAGATGTCCTTATTGCCCATCTTCCGGTGATTCAGCATCCGGTAAGTAACTCCGATTGTTTGTCATCGATTTTTCTTGATTAGTTATAGCATCTCAATTCATCACTACATTTTCTTTGTAGATGTCGTTACTATCGTTTCTACATGTCAAAAATACGGTCACTCCGTGACGATGCCTAGCAGCCCGGATAGCAGTCAAAACTCAACATCAACTGGTGGTGGTCTTAGCAAAGGTGCTATCATTGGCATTGGCAGTGGTTCTGCTGTCTTGGGTTTTACTGCCGCTGCATTGGGCGTTTATTACAGGTGGTTGCAGATCAAAAAAATAAAGGAGCAAGAAACAAAAGAGCAAGAACAACGGGCGCAATTTATTCAACATCAATTCATGTAGTAACCACACGTCAACCGATCAAATAAGCTATGTCGAAAACAGAACTAAAAGTTGGAATATAATATTAATTTGATAATATTTCGCATTATTATTAATTTGTTTATTTCAGTTCCAAAAGTATGCGTGGCTATATAAAATAATTGTTGATTTAAACGAATATATATTTAAAAAAACAGGATTAAAACTTACTAAACCTCATTTTGATGTAAAACTTATAGTTGCTAATATAGTTCAGAAATGATGAATTTTTTAGTATATTTTTTAATTGTCAGTTCACAAATAAATAAAACTCATAATTTTACAGCAAAAAATTGTTTTTGTTATATATTTCAAAATAAATAATTTGTATCTACGTATTTAGATATATATATATATTTTGAAATGGACCAAGTACGTATGTACATGTACATGTATTTTGAAATATTTTTGAAAAATAAACAAAATGAACATATCGATATAGGCGGATTTGTTTTCACAACCGATTTAACTCCAGCCAAAAATTACCAAAATTGGGCAAAATCTCAGCTCATACGAATTATATTTGGAAACTTTTTTATATTTAATATGGTGCAGTAACTCTTAAATCGATAATATGTTTCATGTTAAAAATTCTATCAACTTCTTATCTAAGAAGTAAATCCAAAATTTGACCGGTAATATTATCAAGAAAGTCCTTTCTATGATATTACCGGTTAAAATTTGAATTTATTTCTTAGGTAAGAAGTTGATAGAATTTTTAACATGAAGCATGTTGTCGATTTAAGAGTTCCTGTACCATATCGATATTTAAATTAGCTGTTCGATATACATGTGGTAGTAGTGGGTTTTTTATTAATAGATTATTGTATACTACGTATAAAGGAGTGACTATATATACCGTTGCATATTAAACGAAATGATATACGCAAGTTTCAATATGACATGGGTCTTTGCACAACGTTATTTCTGATTTCTTGTAGTAATATTGCTATTGTTTGTGGCAACGATCAGGTTGCCAAATACAGTCCCTATTTTAATAAAACGACTAGTGTAAATAAATGGTGTGGTAGAAAATGGAAGCCGCTAATAGTACACTCAAATAACAACTCTTATGAAAAGTTATCTTTAATCCATTGCGTGGTTCTTGGAATTTTTAACTGAATCTTCTAAATATTAAACTTTTGCGTAAATTTTCTAAACCTTATAGCGAAAGATTCGTTTGTTAATTAATAATCATTTAGATTTTATTCTTGTGCTAGGTTCTAATATATAAAAAGCTAAATTTATGTTTCTTGATGAAAATATGCATAGGAAAAAGTGTAATTTCAAATGTTCTTTGCTGGCAAAAAATTTCTGAAGGTTCGACAACACAAGAGATAACGAGGACGAAGCCACGTTAAAAAAATTAGGTACATCTGAAAGTCTTTTTATTAAAGGAAAAGAGTTAATTATAGTGCATGTTGGTATTATCGAATTTACTTTCATCATACCACATTTCTATCTCATCTATGTAATTGGCCTGTCAAAATCTCTTATGTTTTAAAAATCCTTTTTGTCACTGCAATCAAATAACAAAACCAATCAACAAACTAAATCGAAGAATTCATTCACGAAACTTTATACTAAACAAGTTGACAACTAATCGTAATTTAACTAACCGTGAAAAACGGAAATTTAAACAATAATAATTCACTGATCGCGCTAAATCGAAAACAGCATTAAAAATGGGTTATCGTAATACGTACATACGTATATATGTATAAATGTCTAACAGATGATAATTGCTATGACTTCGATCACCAAATGATCATTTACTTGTTTGGCGTATGGCTTTCCATTTAGTATCTCGGCGTCAGAATCTATTGAAACTTGTTTGTATTAGAAAACTAAAAGCAATTGTTTTCACTTAAGAAATTGTTCATTTTTCGTTATGAATTCTAAGGTAATTTGCTTCGAATTGTGTAATAATTTCAACGCAACTTCGCGTTTATATTTATTATATCGTTTAAATTTATTTTCCTCATGATCCCACCTTTTGTCACGGCAACGATGCTTTATAAAATGTTCCAAAACCTCCTTTTGCAAGATATTTGAAAGATATTCAAAACGTCCAAAACGTCCAAGGCAGAACTCATATTGTACATTTACTGCAATCATGAGTATTGTGATCCGAATACTTATTATAGTAATCCTGTACCCGATAAAAAACGTATTCACTGCAATGATGAGTGTTCGAAATTTTAGAATTCATCTTAGAGTTCACTTTATAAAATCAGTGCTTTATTTAAAATGATGGGTAAACAAACGTGGAAGTTGATTTCTGCGTCAAGTACTGCATGTCTTGTGTGATAGAACTTCTGTTTTATCATTATGTTAAAAGAGCAACTATGTAGTGTAAAAGTGCTCCGATGAATTAGATATCAATAATTTGGTTTTATTGTCCATAAAATTACTGTACAGTCAAACTCGATGTACCGAAAACCACTTTAATAAAACTTCCTCGATATAATAAATTCCCGATATTATAGAATTTTTATTAAATATCCTCGACCTATCGTTATATTGAATTTCGACTGTAAGCACTTTCCATTTGTGAAAACGATAATGATAAGGATTTTTTAATGCAACCAATCAGAAATTCAATATAATATTGAAAAGATGAAATACTGTAGCGATAATATCTCCGGACTAATATAAGGAAGTATCCGTAAATTTCTTAAGTTTTTTTATATCTGCTGGGCCGGTATATTTGCAGGGTGAAAGTCACAATGCACAAGTTTCTTTTCGTGAATCATTCTCAGACAAGCGATAATATAAAGT